TAAATAAACATTTATTATCTTTTTAAACCAAAATTATCCACTAATTAAACTAATATGTTAGTAAACCTATTCATTCTTGGTGACACTGTAATACATGCAAATTAACATGAATTGTTGTAGAAATGAAATAATTTTCGACGAAATGAACTTTCGACAAAATGAACTTTCGACGAAATGATTGTCGACGAAATGAAACAGACCCGGTCTGTCGGTAAAATGAACTGTCGGTAAAATGAACTGTTGGTAAAGTGAACTGTCGGTAAAGTGAACTGTCGGTAAAATGAACTGTCGGTAAAGTGAACTGTCGGTAAAATGAACTGTCGGTAAAATGAACTGTCGGTAAAATGAACTGTCGGTAAAGTAATTGTCGGTAAAGTAATTGTCGGTAAAGTAATTGTCGGTAAAGTAATTGTCGGTAAAATGAACTGTCGGTAAAATGAACTGTCGGTAAAATGAACTGTCGGTAAAATGAACTTTCGGTAAAATGATTGTCGGTAAAATAATACGTCGGTAAAGTGATTGTCGGTAAAGTGAATGCCTCCCAATGAAATAACTGATTTACAAGTCTCTACTAAAACAATCAGAAGAAATCCACATGATTTAAATATCCATGCTAGTGTTCCAGAGCTAAACCCTTTATTAATGAACAGCAGAGGGTTAATGGTGCCTTGATAAGAAAGATTGGACTATTAGAAAATGGAAAAATGTCATTTGGAGTGATGAGAGCAGGTACACTTTATTTCAAAATGATGTTCCAGGTTATGTTTTGAGAATGCCTGGAACCAGATAAAACATGGTGGTGGAGGCATAATGGTATGGGGTGTTTTTCAGGAAAAGGGCTAGGTCATCCATACATAATTCTGAGACAAATTTTTTTACATTTAATTCAAACATTAGCATTATTAGCATTAGTATTCAACACTAATAGTGTTGGTAATATTCATTAGATCATTAGATAATGTAATAGCAATTTAAATATGTCTAAATTTTTATTTAATCTCTATTGTATAATACTCAAAACTGGTGTTTTTTATATTAATATTGATATTTCACAAATTTTATAATTCTTTTTTTTGGTTTGTTAGTTTATACATTGATATAACAATGAGTTACTATGATATATTAAATAAGCAAAATTTAACATTGCCAGAGTTTGATACATTTGAATCTGTTCCATCTACACCTTTAATGATTGAAGATGATTTAGAAGAGTCAGATGACAGTGAGGGTGAATTTTGTGAAATAGATAATGACAATAATGTTTATTTTAACAAAAATAACAAAGACAAGTTTTTAAATTTATTTGAATTGGCAAGAGATGTGGAAAATTTGGAAAAAATTGCAGATGATGAAAGTATATATGATGAAGATGATGATTGTGAATTGAAGGAGAAGAAGAAGAAAATAACAAAAATTCTGAAGGTAATATTAGTGATGATGAATTTGAAATCATGATTGATAAAACAACTGACAGTCATAATTAACAGTTTATTTATGTCAGACTCATTGAAATTGTTATTGAATGCTAAATCAGATAAAAAATCACAATCTAATAATGATTTGAATACATATCCAGATATATCTAAAAATTCCAAAGAGAGTGAATTATGACCAAATATCTGCCATTTATTGTTTGAAATCATTAAAGACCTTGGAGGTACAATTGCATAAATAGGTATTGGTAAGTGAAATTGAAAAAGCATCTGTAGTGTGGCATGAATGGTATTCCTAGGAACATCAAAAATGTTTCCATATTTGTACGTCTTTTGAAAAAAATCAATATTATCAATTATACCAAGGTTTCAAGTTTTTGGACTATTTGAAAGATCATGTTTGGAAACTGTTTGGTGCATTATTTTGATTTCAAGAGTCCTTCATATTTTTGGGTATGAGGAATAACATATACAACTCTAAGGATTGCATGCAGAGAAGATAGAAGTTTTGGATGCCTACAAAGACCTGCTAATATATTATTAAACCAAAAATTCACCTTTCTAAATGTAATTGTCATAATTATTGATGACAGAAATGGGACTATCTTTATCAACTTCATTTGGTCTAATTCTTTGTATTTAAAACTTTCAATTCCAGATTTTAATGAACATTTTCTTTTGCCTTTGTGAGTTGTTATGGTGTTGTTGTAAAATGAATCCAATCATACCATTAAAGAATTCCTTAATGGTATCTGGGAAGGCCTTGTGATATTCGATTAGGGAACTGGGATTAGTTAAACATTGTTCATTTTTTTTAACCAATTCTCTAGAATGATGTAATGATTTCCCCAGACTTTGACCGAATTGAAATCATTCACCAGGGTTGACAGGATTTTTTTTCTGTTTTAAAATTAATTTATCAGCTTTACCAAGTTTTAACAAAGCTTTGATGATCAGAGGATTCAATAAATTTAGAGTGTGGTTATTCAAAAAAAATAAATCATTGTTTTTGTTTGAATAAGCGTTTAAAACAGATACAAGTTTTGATAAAACATTCTCTTTTAATGCATGGTTATCTGATAAATAAATATCCATAATCCAAGTTGCCAAACTTTGTAATGATTTTGTAATATCATTGCTTGATTACATTTTTTATTTGGGCCTTTTCCTGTAGGTATATGAACATGACCTCCATTCTTTTCAAAGCATGAAAGACATATATAATGTGGATGATAGGTAATGTGATCCTCAGGTAATTTTTCAAATACTGGCGAAATATTATTATTCATCACTGAGAATGTATGCTGAGTTATGCATGGTACAATCAAATCTTTTCCAAGTAAATTCCATGTATGTACTGTGCAACTTTTTCCACATGATAATACATAAAAATTGTGGCCACAAAATAAGCATTGTCTTGGTGTGGTAATTGAATCTTCACAATTTCTGATTTTTTTAATGCTTGTTGGATGAAAATAAGGAGATCTGTCTAAGTGAAAGTGTACATCACACACACCCAATGAACCTGGCAAAATCCCTGTTTCTTTTATATAATCAGAATTTATTTCCCAATAACCTGATGTCTGCCACAACCTTTTGTAGCTTTTTCATTCACATGCATACATTAGACCATCTGATTCATTATAACACATTATTGCATATTCTTGATGAAAATTGCGACTGTCAGTTGTTTTATCAATCATGATTTCAAATTCATCATCACTAATATTACCTTCAGAATTTTTGTTATTTTCTTCTTCTTCTCCTTCAATTCACAATCATCATCTTCATCATATATACTTTCATCATCTGCAATTTTTTCCAAATTTTCCACATCTCTTGCCAATTCAAATAAATTTAAAAACTTGTCTTTGTTATTTTTGTTAAAATAAACATTATTGTCATTATCTATTTCACAAAATTCACCCTCACTGTCATCTGACTCTTCTAAATCATCTTCAATCATTAAAGGTGTAGATGGAACAGATTCAAATGTATCAAACTCTGGCAATGTTAAATTTTGCTTATTTAATATATCATAGTAACTCATTGTTATATCAATGTATAAACTAACAAACCAAAAAAAAAGAATTATAAAATTTGTGAGAATATCAATATTAATATAAAAAACACCAGTTTCAAGTATTGTACAATAGAGATTAAATAAAATTTTAGACATATTTAAATTGCTATTACGTTATCTAATAATGATCTAATGAATACTGCCAACACTATTAGTGTCGAATACTAATGCTAATAATGCTAATGTTTGAATTAAATATAAAAAAATTTGTCTCAGAATTATGTATGGAGGGATGGAGGAAAATAGAAAATGAAAATATACATTTTCTTAAAATAGAAAAGATCTTGTCTATTGCTGTTGTTATGTAGCGTTCAAACAAGATCATACTCTATAGAAGCATGAGTATTTGGAAGAAATAGGTTTAAAGTATACTCTAAAACTAAAACTGCATTTTTAAATAACTTTTGATACCTTTTGTTCTCTAAATGATATAGTTAGCTTATGGAAGAACAAATTTTTCATGCAAAAACAAATATAAATTTTATCGAAATTGATCATCTGTTCTATATTTGATTACATTTGCACATTTTTTTGTGACATTAATATACATTAATATTAATATTTAACAAGATCATACTCCACAGAGGCATGAGTATTTGGGAGAAATAGGTTTAAAGTATACTTTAAGTCCAAAACTACATTTTTAAACAATTTTCGGCACCCTTTGTTCTTAAAATATTATAGTTAGCTTATGAGAGAACAATTTTTTCATGTAAAATTAACATAAATTTTATTAAAATTGATCATCCGTTTTTTTATTTGATTATTATGGAATCTGTTCTGTTTGTGCAAGTCATAATACTAATTACCAGTGGTGTCAATCATGTGATTCCAATTTGTTAGCTCCAGAGTTGGACTAGCAGTGGTAATGAAAAATTAGATGAATATACGGCTTGAAGCAAAAGGATTTGATAGTTATTATTTTGAATGGATTCCTTATGACCGACTTGGAGTTTACAATGAAATAGGTAAAGGTGGTTTTGCAACTGTATATATATGTTCTTGGTCAATTGGTACTATATATGTTTATAAGTATAGAAGATATCATTATAAAGATGGTAGTGTAGCATTAAAAAAGGTTAAAAACTCACAAAATATTTCCGAGGAATTTTTAAAAGAGGTGAATAATTTAATATAATTAATTGACAAATTAATGACTTTTAAATAATATAATAATTTTTTATTAATTTTATAAAAATTCAAAATCACACCCAACTCATGAATTTATATTATAATAATATTGTTAAAATTTAACAAGATCTTAATACAAAAGAATATATTATAATAATGAGATATACATATATGCGGTCGCGTTTACTTCGTCAAAAATTATTTCATCCTCGAGCCAGAGACCGAACGAGTTAGATGTGAGGAGTGTGGGAAGTTGGTTAAGAAATTAGGTGAGGAAAGCGGGGTGTGTGGGAAGTGTGAGGAGAAATTTGTTTAATGAAGTTTTTTTTTGTGACGAAATAATTTTCGACGAAATGAACATTCAACGAAATGAACTTTCGATGAAACAAACTTTCGACGAAATGGGTGTCGACGAAATGGGTGTCGACGAAATGATTGTCGACGAAATGATTATCGACGAAATGAATCAGACCTCATGCACATGATGGAAGTTTTAATAAAATTATATAAAACCAAGATATATGAGATAATTAGAATGCTTTATGGTATTTAAACGTGATTCATGAAGAAGGACATATACATCATGATCTTCGATCAATATCAATATTATTTTTATTATATAATAGATTTCTAATCAAATGTATTTAAGTTATTAAATGAATAAATTGTATTATTCTGATTCTTGGAATTTTTACATTGGTCTTTTTATTGTTATTATAAGAAAATATTTTTTTATCAATGTGATTAACTACTTTTTTTATGAAGCTCATATATTTTACCCATCGAATATTCATTCAATCAATTAAATTTAATATCTGAATAATTATTTGATGAATAATTAAAATATTCGGATATTCATTTGACCATTAAATTAATTATCCAGTGAATGATTGATTATTCATTGATTTATTAATATTTTTCTCAAAAAAAAAAAAATCTTTTCATAATAAAAATGGATTAAGTTTTGTTCTCTTTGAGGTTATTTATTTTCAGCTTGACTAAATAATCTCATTTAGAATGGACATTGTAGGTACACACAAGTATTTAGTGGCTAATTTTTGACAATACATGAAATATATTTTTATTATGTTTCCACTAGAGCTTCGGACGGTTCGGAGCTTTAGGTTAGGGTCTACTTGGCAGTCCCTGGTATTCTAATTTTTGCACACTGCTTATTTAGAATTAAATTTATTAATTTTTAATTAACTTATTATAAAACCAGTGTCCCGGTTGATCAAGTTTTTTTGAAGCACAGACTTAATTACTCAAAAGCGTTATAGTTTAGAATCTGAAATAATAAAGGTTTAAAAAGTTGGCAGAGATGATGAATTTGTTGTGAGTTTTATATATGGATTGAACGTCGTTAGAGGTTCTATTCGAATAAGTTTGTTCGAATTATTTATTTTATTCGTTTGCATTGAAGGTTTGTTTGAATGAAACGAATGAACAAATAAAGCGAACAAAACGAATAAAACGAATAAAACGAGTAATTAGAATACATATGTAAACTCGACAAGTCGGTTTTGGCCTAACTCGGCCAAAAGTTTCACCCCTTTTTTTTACTATTTAAAAAAATTTGATAAGTCGGTCAATCTATATAAAGTCGCGATAAGCGCCAAGTCGGTCAATCACTTATCCCAAGTATAATTAAATGAATCACGATAAGTTGGTCTCACGTGATATTTTATTATGTGAAGGGTTATCATTACTATTTAGTAATGTGTGATTTAATAATTTTTTTAATATATATATATATAAAATATCTGAACCGGCTTATCGAGTTTACATATGTATATACTAGTAAAATGCTAATAAAATATACTGTTTTCAAACCAAATTGGCATAAAAGACATACATTATAGTTTAGAGCTTTGGAAACATAACAAAATTTTTTCTTTATTTAACTATTTGTATCTATTGCAATTTCTGAAAAAAAATATACGAAATAAACATTACTCACTCCATAGCGCTGTTCTGCAAATTCCCCTCGGCTAGCGTTAGTCGTCAAAACTATTTTGAAGAGATGAAAGTCAAAGCTAAAATTAAAAGTTATACGTCAAAACTAAATCAAAAGTCAATAGTCAAAAATCAAAACTAGTTTCGACTTATGGCGAAACCTTTTGACTTTTGCACGGTTGCGAAACTCTCGAGTTTTGGAAACTAACGCTACCCTCGACTAAAAACCTCAGATATTTTCATGAATAGAACGATTTTCCAAATGCCCTGGCAATTGAGAATTCTTATTAGGATTAATTAGATTTGTTGATCAACTGATATCAAATCCTTAACACACGTCTCGGATGACTCCATTCTAAATATTAAATATTATTTTTTAACATACTTGTTTAATAACTATAGTAAGAAGCTCCTACAATGATGTTTCCAACTGTTGAATTTTAGGCTTGAACTACAGTTTGGACTAAAGTTTAATATATTAATAATAAACCACCAGTCGATGCGGTTTATTCAAATTGAATTCATCTCATCCTTGAACCAATATATCAAAAGTTGGAATCCTAACGCGGAATCTGTCCCAAAAAATAACATTTCCGCTTTGTTTGGTAATAATAACATACAAAAATGACAAAGATTCTAAAAATATTACTACCTAATAATTAATATTGATAATAACATAGAAAAAATCCAAGGTTAAAAATTCAATTCCTGACTTCATCGAGTTGATCATACTTGGAGGATCATAGACTAAAATAGATAGTTTTAACATTTTAAAAATTTCTATATTTCTCGATTAGCCAATAGCAAACTTTATATTAATGAATGCCGTTTCCCGTTCCTTTGACATAGTTTCCGGAGTAGAGTCCATAGCCCTGGATCGGGTTCCCGAATTTGGAAATCACATGTTCCACAATTAAATAAGTAAAAAAAATAATTCATTATTTTGATGGAGTTTTTTTTTAAAAAGGTAAACTTTTATACATTTTATAATGTCAATCATTAAATAAAAAAATAAATAAAATAAAACATTAATTAATTTATTGAAAACTATATAGTAATAATAAAAAAAGAATCAATGATAATGGCAGAAATTGAATTTAATCCAATTCTTATTTATAACGAGCTTGTAAATTTGTGTGTTAAGCCACCATTAAGTGGTAGAGTGATTAGCAATCATAACTCAGCAAGTGCAGATAATTCCAATAACAACAATGTAAATACTAATGTTGGTGATGCTCAATTGGTTCCTTCTCTACGAATCGATTCAACTACTTTGTCAAAAGAAGTTAACAAATTTCGTGCTTGTGATGGAGTTTCATGTATTTATTGTAGAGAATGGGCTTCTTTAATATACAAGAAAAACTTAACTTGGTCAGCAAAAAATAATACTTTAGGCAATACTAATTCATCATCATCAACTTTAACAACATCAACAACATCAACATCTTCAACGTCGTTAATACCACCGTCTTTGTTTTTGATTGTTTCAAAGTCAAATGGTAAAAGATCAAAGCAACTAGCAAAATTAATTTGTAAAAATTTAAATGAATTTATTATTACCCAACTTGATGAAAAACTTAAATCAAGTGGATCATCGACAACAAACGAAAAAAATTATAGTCTTCTTAATGAAACAGTCGAAAAGATTTATGAATGGATACTATTATCGAGTAGTTTATACTCTATGCCTGATATTTTCAATCTTGTTGAATTTGAAAATTCTTCATCATTACAATTAGATCTTGAAGGAAAAGATGAAGAAGAAGATGACGATGACGACGATGATGGTAGTGACCCGGTTCATATTTTAGAATTTTTAGAAATTAAAAAATCTAATTTAGAAATTTCAAGGAATAATTTTCATTTTTTGAAAAAAACCACCAAAAAACCAGCACAATGCCATCATTCCAAGCCTGATTGGAAAACTCCTTCAGAACTTGATTCCGACCGAAAGATTTTTAATGATCATTTGATAAGAGAAAAAAATCACGATAAAGAATTACTTAAAACCGATTTAGTTAAAGCGTGGCTGCATCTTAACAAAATTTTAACAAGCATAACACAATTGGAGGCGACTCGTGATCTGATACTTGGCAAAGGATGCGTTGAAAATTTATCAAAGTTTATGAAAGAGCACCGGGATAAAACAATTTCTTTCAATGAACATTGGACTCCTATTGCTGAAACATATAAAAAAAATAACAAGTCCAAGAAATCAAATAATAATAACAATGCAACTTCAGCTGCAAATGATGTTGAAGATATAGATGTAGCGTTTGGTGCTTTTACGAATAATTGCAGAAATGCTATTTCATTATTTAAGAAATCCTTTATTGATAAAGCGTGTGATAATGCTGTTCAATTTGGAGAGGAGGCGCAAGATATTTTATTGGATTTAATAACGGAAGCAGAGAAACGAGTAACCGGTGAGGGAGTTTTAGATTTTCACAGTGATCTATTGGAGAAATGTAATAATGCCTTGAAAACGGTCAAAGATATAAAATTGATGATATTAAAAAGAATTTCAATTATGCGATCGGAGATTGCCAAAAAAGAGAATGAACTTATTCAAGAGATTGATGCTTTAGAAAATGGATGGGCGAATGAATCACAAAAAACGTTGCAAGGACGGCTAGAGAAAGCCAATAACAAAGAATTTCGAAAGCGAATTAAAAAGTTCGAGAGTGCTATGCAATCAAAAAGACAATTTGTGGTAAATTCAATAAATAACCTATTATCAACCAAAGATTTCACAAGTATTTGTATAAGTTGTTTAGAGATCTTTATGATGGAAGGTGAGGTTTTAGAAGCTATGCAGCTTAGGATACATTATGAATCTTACGATGAGAGGCTTAAAAAGTTATCTTTTCAACGTGAAATTTTATTAAAAGATTATAGACAGGGTGTTGATACTGGTAAAAAAGTATTGGCAGGATTAATTGGAAGAACATTTTTGAAAGAGGCATCAAGATTAATAGAAAGGTCTTTAGCATTGAAGAAACAAGAGAGATTTTTACAGTCGATCGATCAAAAAAATGTTGATACAACAAAAAAGAAAAGGGCAGAAAAAGAACTAGTCGCGACAAATTCAGAAACAACAGAGACATCTAGATCCGTTGAAACTCCAAAGAAAAATAAAAAGAAAAAAAGAAAAGGCATAAATAATAATAATAATAATAATAATAATAATAATAATAATAATAATAATAATAATAATAATAATAATAATAATAA